ATAAACTCCTAGAACTCAAACTGTTGCCATTATTATATGGTAGGACAATAATAAGCCATTATAAACTGATAAATTATGATTCTTATGGAAAATAAAGAATGGTTAATTAGGTCAAGGGATTGTTGAGAAAGAGGAGTCTTTGGAAACGGTGGTTAAAGTGGGCTTCTGTGGGAAGACGGTTTTTAAGCACATCAGAAAAATGGAGTCAGTCTTAATGAGCACATCTAAGTTCTAACTTGGCATGTGCCAGAATAACAGTACAACAGCCTGGTTAAATGAGCATGCCCAGCAGTAACTGAGTAGAGGACAATGGTGAGAACATCACCTCTTTCACCAGTTGTGTTACACTGGGCAAGCCACGTCTCTAGTTTACTTCCCCACCATCAAAACACGAATAAAAATCATGTCAAAAAAGGATTAAATGATGTATACCAAATATCTTCTAAGCTATTTCCATTATTTATTATTAGTACTACAGATACCACTAGAATGAACTTCAAAAACAACAATCTAAGCTTTTACTCTTTAAGCAACCAAGCATTTATCCTGAGCATGTACCCTCTCATCCAAGGAAGGACTGAGAGCTCTGTGTGTAAACTGAAATATGACAGGTGAGTTAATTAGTTCAGTACACATTCCCTTAAACACCAGCCAGTTAGAATCAACTCCAAGACACAGTGCCATCTGCTTGTCTAGGGAATGCAGCAATTGGAGACATTAAGCAGAAGAAAGATCATGACCCCAATTTCAAGTTTTGCTCATTGTTGAACATCTAGTAGAAGTGCCCTGTAGATAACCAGAAACACATATCTGCTGTTCAGAACCACCTTTTTTTTATTCAGCATTGTCTCCTCAAGAATGGAACAGTGTCTGTTGCAAAGTATTCCCATACAGCTTTAATTAATGTGTTAATAATATACAGTCAAAGCTCAGTGTGGATGACAATGATCACAGAAACCACTCAAACTTTATTTTTGTCAGAACTGATGAGATCTTTAAGACAACTTTCCCCAGAAAATGCAAGTTTATATACACATTTAATTTCATTAGGGGTTTACGCATCTCAAACTTAACAGCCACTGATGCTAGCTTAAGAGAAGGCCTGGCAGTAGGTGTTGTGGCCTAGCAACAGCCTTCTCAGCCTGCTACTTGAGATGCCAGCATCCCACTTCCAATCCAGCTCCCTGCTAATGTGTTTAGGAAAAGCAGCAGAGGATAGCAACAGAGGAGTGTTGGGGTCCCTGAACCCACAAGGGAGACAGGGGAAAAAGCTCCTGGCCCTTGGCTTCACACTGGCCCAGCTCTGGCCATTTGGGGAGTGAACCAGCAGATGGAAGAGTTCTAGCCTCTGTAACTCTTTCAAATAAATAAATAAATCTATAATGAACAAATGAGTGAAAGAAAAAAAAGAGAAGAGAGAAGAAAAGAGATAAAAAGGAAATGGCTAAGGAAACAACTATCATGAAATAGAGAATTCAGCAGAATCTGAAAATGGAGAACCTGCAAGAAACCAAGGAAGAGTTTTTCAGAGTGACTGACCCACAATAGCAAAGGTAGTACAGATGCATATGGCACCCACATCAGTCCCCAGAGACCAAAGTGGAACAAGAGTATGGAAATCAAACAGAGGTTGCTTAAAGCACTGAGGAGGGGAAGGAGCAGTGACCATGAACAACCATTCTCTCCAACACACATGTCACACTCAGTCCTAGGTGAGTTTCCTGTCCATCTTACCTGAATGCCACATTCTCAAGAAATCTGATTATACTCTTCTTGCAACTCCAAGTCTCTTTTCTACCTACAAACTCCTATATCACACATTTGCTATAACATCCAAAACCTTCAATCAGCTAAATATATATACTCTACATTCTATCCCCCCTTTTTAATATAGCCTAACATACATCTTTTAGAACGGTGATCAATTTTCTTACCATAGGAATCACGTTACCCCTTGGATTAACAAAATCATGATAATGTTCAATGGAATCCCTAAGGATAGAGCTCTGAAATCCCTATCCTGAAGAGTCCTCCCAATGCCATACTATGTCTTACAGACATGTTATCACTAGCCTTTGAAATAAAAATTTCCAATATGCTTTGTCTCAGTGTAACTTCAAATAGAACTTTAACTCTGAAAAGGTCTAAACATTCAATTTACAAATAAGAAAACCATGGTGCTAGTTAAATGAGTTACTTAAGTTTATCCAATAAACTATTCAACCCCAGAAAAAGATTCACAACTATTTCTGACAATTTCTTCATTTTCACTATTAACCTAACAACATATTCAGTCATTATGGCACAGCAAGTTAGTCACTGCTTTCAATACTGCCACCCCATATGGGAGTGCCTATAAACAGTTCTGCTTATGACCTGCACAATGGTGCCATTGGCTAATATTCCCCATTTTACCCCTGTCCCTCGCAAGTGCCTGGATCTCACATGGGTGTCGGTTCATGTCCCAGCTGCTCCACTTCCCATAGAGCTCTTCGCCTGTGACCTGGGAAAGCAGTACAGGATGGTCCAAAAATGTGGGACCCTTCACCTCCCTGGAAGATGCACCTGGGGCTACTGGCTCCTGGCTTCAGACCAGTTCAGCTCAGGTTGCTACAGCTATTAGGGGAGTGAACAAGCAGATAGAAGATCTTTCTCTCTGTACCTCCTTCTCTCTGCTAATCTGTCTTTCCGATACAAATAAATAAATATACACACATGTACACTTTTTTAAAAAGTACTGGCTCCTCTGTTTATAATCCATTTTCCTGCACTGGAACCTGCAAGGGCTACAGATGATGGCTAAGTCCCTGGGTCCTGCCATCAATGATGGATGCAGTTTCCTGTCCCTGTCCCCTCAGACCATGATGAAGTTTCTTTTTCCTGTCCTCAGCATGGCCCAAACCTGGTCACTGTGGCCATTTGGGGGGTGGATCAGCACTGCCTTTCAACTAAATGTGCAATAAACATTCTGGTGAGGGGTTGGAGGAGTAGACACGAAGAGCTCTTTGAAGTATGTGATCTTCGAAAATTTTCGGAGATAAAATTTAATGAGGGCAAGAGCGTGGCAGGAGCAAAGCTTACTACTGATCAAAGCAACAGCACGTGAGGAGCACCAAGCCAGGGAAGAGCCTGCAACGCAGGTAACTCCACAGAGACCAGCAGAGCTAGCTCACACAGCGAAGGAAACAGCTACAACTGAGGCTGAAGACACGAAGGCCACAACACACAGCAGGAGCATAACCACATTAAGGAAAGCATCACCCCCTTTCATATAGTACTCAACAGCTTACATCTGCTGTAACACAGGCTCTTCTGCTCCTCAACAGACTGGCAAAGTAGATGTCATTTTCTCTTCCAAATCTAACTGCATCATGAATGACAGAGTAAGGTAATGTCCCACTGACTTAGTCAAAGCATCTTGCCTGATGGTGGTTACATACCTACTCATCACTCATGATTCTATTTATGTTACTAGTGCTAACTCAACCTATTTTCATAATAGCACCATGGATTATGAAATACTGCAGATATTTTAAAAAGCATTAAAAGCTAATGGACACAGGATGGGTGCAATGGTTCAATTGGCTAACCCTCAGCTTGCAAACACTGGCATCTCATATGAATGCTGGTTCGTGACCTGACTGCTCCACTCCAATTCAGCTCCCTGCCTGTGTCCTGGGAACGCAGATGGCCCAAGCCTTGGGACGCTGCACCTGTTTGGGAGACCCAGAAGATGCTCCTGGCTTCAGAATGGCTCAGCTCCAGCCTTATGTGACCATTTGGGGAGTAAACCACTGGATGGAAGATCTTTCTTGCTGTCTCTCCTTCTCTTTGTAAATAGATCTCTTTAAAAAAAAAACACTTAACATATACAGTTCTTCTTATTGCATGATGAGCTCTTCAAGGCAAGGACTGTATGGTACTTAACTTGATATATGCATGATCTAGCACCAAGAAGTTAGTACTTCTAAGAGACTTCCCCAATACAGATCAGAACACCAAGATTTGGTGAGCTACAGTTCACCAAACTAATAAATTATGAATTAGGCTCAATAAAAAGAAATTTTGCCTTTCACCTGTTTACACCTTTCTAACACTCCATTTAAACTGTATAACCAAACACAAATTTCAGTCCATTAGTTATCAAGTCGTCATTTAAACAGCCTAGTGGGGCATTCACAAATTAGCTACTGAAGTGTACTGTAACATATTTATGCAGACATATTTATGCCAGGTACATACATTTCAACTACGCAAATTCTATTTCTTAATGAAACTCATTCTCTTTAAGCATGCCTATCAGTAAAGCTTCTGAATAAAGTTCTTGCACCCAAAGATTTGTCTGCTTCTTAACATAAAGGACTCACTTTAGTCTGTCACTCATGTCCCAGAGTTAATCAGCTCGCTTTATTCCAGGAAAGGAATTATTGGCAGGGAGTAAAAAGGAAGCTGTGTTCTATGCATAAATGTAATTTAAAGGGGAGTGGGCCAGAGAGTAAACGAAAAGGGGAGAAATTATAAGCCTGGATTTCAAGAGAAGAATACGGAAAGCGGCACATGGGAGAATGTTCCCGGCCCTTCTGTATTGCACAGGTTCTCTGCATGAGATGTGAACCTTACTGGGCAGTCGTTGCAAGGCCTTACAAGTCCGTGCATTTCCTTGACTGCAAAGAGGCTTCAGCAACCACCTATCGCTCCTCCGCGCGACAGCCCCGGCACCGGTCCCTCCCGCCTCAGACACGGAAGCCGCCTGGAGCGGTGAGACTGCGCGGAAGCGGCGCCCTCGGTCCACCGCTGAGCGAACGTGGTGGCAAACGCCACTGAGTTCGGGTCCGGACCAAGGAAGGAGTCAGCCTGCACCTCCACCTCGGCTCGGCCCGCGCAAAGGGAGCGCCGGTACCGACGAGGAACCGAAGCGTCCAGCCCCCGGAAGGCAGCGGGTATTCCCGAGGAAGTCGTCGGACTTTCGGTCTTTCCACACCCGCCCCGCCCGAAGTTACCTTCCCAAGTGACATCGTAAAGCTCTGAGATCTTCGCCATCTTCCCAAAACCTAGAGGCGGCGGAGCGAGAGGGCGGGGAGACGCCGTCACGTGACCGGAGACCGGGCGGTGAAGGATGACGAAGCCCCTTTTTATTGGTCCAGATGCTGGAGGGGGCGGTGTCCAGCGCGCACGTGCACGCGGCCCGCCGGAGGGGGCGGAGCGTGCTTGCCGTGACGCGACTCACCCGGTGCGTGAGGATTCCCAGGTGTAAGCTGAGGTGTTTAGTGCTTACCTTATCCTTTATTATTATTATTATTATTTTAACAAATGTTGGATTTTTCCTTTCCCTTTAGATGTGTGTATCGTTTCCGTACTACCCAGTGTGAGTACTTGGTTGCCTTCATAGCCTGTCGCTACAGCAGTTTTTGGTCTTTCAAAGGAATTCGCTCACGGTTTGCTTTTTAATATCTGCCTCCGTGAGTGAACTCCACGATTTTTTTTTTTTTTTGAAGTATTTTTAGAGCAGAGAGGTGGGAGACTACCTTTGGCCTTTATCCCCGGGGTATATATCCCTTGTTCATGGGGCAGGCTTTGACCGCCCCAGTTAACGCTCCTGGCTTGATAACTACCCGGTCAGCCTCCAGCTCCGGGTTTGACTTTGCATGAGCCTTGCCAGCGTGTCAGTGCTTATCAGTCACCCCCGGACGTCCAAATGACACGCTGACAAAAAGGAGGCTGGCAACATGAATGTACCGTTTGATGCCACGAGAATATGAAGTTGCTCCGGATACCTGCATCCCATGTTCAAGTGCCTGACTTCCAACAGTACCAGCTTCCCTCCCTACCCCAGTACCACCTGTACCACAACACGGGAGAAAGCAGGCGATGGCAGAAATACTCAGGGTCCACTACCCAGGTGGGAAATGCAGCTAGATTTCCAGGCTCCAGGCTTTAACCTGGCCCAATCCTGGCTGTGGGAGATGACCTTTGCCTTTCAAATAAATATATGCAAGAACAAAAATATACTGCAGAGGAAGCAGCTTTATGGCACTTCCTTGAAGGCACTGACCCGTGTCTATAAAATTCTGTGTATATGCTGGTCATTACCGAGTTCATCAGTTGTCTCCACACCGAGTGCTGCCTGCTTGACATCGCTTAGATGGCTGACTGCAGTGCCACTCCAGGTGGCACATTCCAAACAAACTCCAGATTTCTGCCATTCCTCCCCTGCTCTCACTCTTCCCTGTCACAGTTGATGAAACTAATTCTAAATTCACTTAGTTGAAGCAAGTAAGTTATAGAAAAAGTATTCTTGATTCCCTCTGTTGTCCCTCCACAGCCTAAACCCGGCCTTTCAAAGAATTCTATCGTTGCACTTCCAAAAACTACCCCCCAAATTCATGTACTTCTTTGTATCCCAACTGCTGCTTAAGTAATCTGACTCGCAACCATCTTCCAGTGGATGACCTAGATGCTTTTTAACAACCTTTGTTTCATTCTTACTGTGTAATGTCTGCTTTGAATTCAGCAGTCCTGCTGCTCTCAAAAAATCAGATCACAGAAGTCCCTTTGTTTAAAGCTCTCACCTGGCTCCCCATAGCAATGAAAACTGCTGCAGATGCTTCCCTGTGCTTTAAAGGCCCTGCTCAAACCAACTGCCATCCACCTTCGTCACTTAATTTCTCCACCAGACCCTTGCCGTTCTTGCCTATAGCGCGCCAAGTTCTTTTCTGCTGTGCGTTTGGCGTTTACCACCTGTTCATTTTTCCTAGAATCTTCCTCTCTAGATTCGTAATTATCTTTTGTCACATATCTGATTTGTAAAGCTTTCTTATGTGTCCAAATGAAAAGTACTCCCTAATTTGTGACTTTCAGATACTATTTACCTTTTTTTGCTTTTTTTTTTTATTTCCCTTGCATGCTTTCTGTACCTTCTACTACCAGTTAAGTTTCTTGAGAGAATCTGTCGTTTCAACCTCGCCACATGTCATCTGGAGAAATACGTGCTACACAATAAAAGTTAGTTCATGAAATAAAGTAGATTAAAATCATTTTATTAGTGATTATAAAATAAAAAGGGGTGTCTCTCCTATGAGGAGACACCCCATCTCCCAGTTCTTTCCCGGGAAGTGCTTTGCCCTTCTCTCTTGTTTCCACATTCACTTGTTCATTTTGCAAATGCAACTTCTGTCTGGAAAGAAAAAATCATTAGTGGTGATAGTTAATGCTTACATTTTATGTGTGTACACGTATGAACTCTTGTTTGGTTAATATAGGATGTGTTGTTTTTATAGTCATTGCTTTCCTAATGATTCTGGATCTAGCAGTTGCATGGCTTATGCCGCTCATTGTGTATCTCCCAAGCCCCTGCTGCAGTATGTTGTTAACCTTATGGTTAGCTTCGTTTACATATCACGGAATAGGCCACTGGACTCTAGGTTAAAAGAAGCCACTTTTGTAATTCTTAGACTAAAAGAGAGAAGATTTTTCATTACAGATATAGAATGTACTTATGATTCTTTAGAACATTTTTTCCAAACTTTTTTTGCTTACAACTAATGCTAAGGAATACATCGTAATCCCGCCAATTTTTTTTTTTTTTTGGTTACAAAGTCAGATATACAGAAAGGAGGAGAGATAGAGAGGAAGATCTTCCATCCAATGATTCACTCCCCTAGTGAGTGCAACGGCTGGTGCTTTGCTGATCCAGAGCCAGGATCCAGGAACTTCCTCCAGGTCTCCCACACGGGTGCAGGATTCCAAAGCATTGGGCTTTCCTCCACTGCTTTCCCAGGCCACAAGCAGGGAGCTGCATGGGAAGTGAAGCTGCCAGGATTAGAACTGGCACCCATATGGGATCCCGGCGCGTGGAAGGCCAGGACTTTAGCTGCTGGCCATTCCTGCCGGGCCCTAAATTCCACAATTTTAAACCAGCTTTTCCCATAAGTATTTTCCTCTTCTATTTTCAAATTGAATCAATTCCATTTTGTTTCCTAAAAAATATTGTTGCAGCATACTAATAAGCGGTGATCCATAGTTTAATTCATGGACATTTCTTAATTTGAGGCCCTGAAGTGAAATGATTTGTCCAACTTTTAGCTACTACTTGTTAACAGAATGGGTCATTTTTATGGAAATTAGTTGTTTTGGTCAAAGGTGAGAAATTAAATACATTATAAAATGCACCCAAGGAAAATGTTATCACCAGTTTTCTGTCACCACTCAAAGTAGGGGAAAGCAATTGTTTATTGATTATAGTATTCTGATTGCTAGTAAAATGTGCCTTTCCCAGGTAGACTCAAAACACTGGCATGTCAGTAACAAGAATTCTATATTTTCTTTAACATTTTGTAACATTTAACTATAACTATAAATAAAAGATATTTTCTGTAGGTAAAGCCATAAACCAGTCATTATTTTTATCTCCTGTAATTGTACATTTACAAAATGTCTCAGAGTTTTGCCTTTCATGCATTTAAACATTGCCCTGTATTGATTATAAATACCCAGAAAATATCCAGACTGCTACATTTTAGGTTATACTAGTCCATGCATTACTGATAAGGTGTGTTAGACACTATGAAAAGCATCTCATTAAGTGACCCCACCAGCACCTGAGTAAGACACAGGAATATGATCTATGATATCCTTTCTTTTCTGTAAAGCTACGTTGTACTAATGATGTTTTCCCCTACAAGGCTGTGTTTGAATAGTTTCGATGATAGCTAATCAGAATAAACAGCTCACTTTTCTTTTTGAGAGGACACAGGTCAATAATTTACTAAGCTGGATTGACCCACACAACATTTTAGAGTGTATCTCTTTTAAAGTTTACTTTATTCACTTACTATCTTAATAATTCTCTTAAATTGATCAAATATGGCATTTACAACATGTACATGATCTATTTAGACTCTACTATCCATTGTGCACTGTCTCAATCATAGTGAATTAAACTATCTCACATTATGTGTGTGCAACCCCTGTTCACTGTGACAGTTGTAAGTTGAAGTAAATTGATTTCACTACAACTCTCAAACAAAGTATACCATAGCTTTTAGGTCATGTTTCTCATTAATGGATCATAACTGCAATCCCTTTTTTACTTGAGTAAAAATATTGCATATTTAATCTTGTTTACAGTCAATAAATTTTCACTGTGCTGTATGACATTCGGAAGGAAATTTTCTGTAGATTTTCATTTACCAAGAGGAAGATGAACATGAAATTGTTTTATGGAACTGTTGAACATTTAATCATTTTAAGAAAGCATTATATGACTTAATGCTTCCTCCTCAAAACAGAAGAGCTCATGTTCCCTTTGACAGACCAACAGATGCTGAAATATTGGCATTTCTAGTTATTCAAAATTTGCTGTCACCTGTAATACATATTTTAAAATTTGTCAAGCATTCATTTCACATACAGTTATGTGTTAGAAAGCAGAATGTGTTGGAAACATCTGTTCTGCTAATACTCCATGCATAAGACTTATATTCCAGAAACATTTTTTGTGTACTAAATATCTAGCAGTCCTCAAGTACATCTGGACTGTGCATTCTACAATAGGACCAGGACTGATTAGAAAAATGTTTTAAGAGATATGTATTCCTAAAAGATGTGTTATAGCACATTCATATAAGAATAAGAAATATGAATTCTTACATGCTGTGCTCAAATCATGTGTACTTGTGGGTGTAATTTTTATTTTGTGCAGTCCTTCTCTCCAATGGTTGAATGGCAGCATTCTAGCTACAATACACTAAGTCATTCTCTCAGACTTGTGAATCTAAGCCACCATAACCTGGCCACCAAGCTGCAGTGCAGTTTACATTACTGGACATCTTTTTCTTCCTGTACACATGATGACCACTGTTAGCTAAAATTAGCTTAGAGATCAGTAGCAGCTTAGTACTTAAGTGGTCTTGTCATTTTTCAAATCATAAATCAAATGTTCTTTTGAACATAAGAAAGCTTATTTATTCATCCCCATGGATTTATTTGGAAAAAAGACTCATTTCCTGACATTCTGTATCTAAAAACAGTGTTGATCCACTAAGCCCACTCCACCAACCCCAT